AACCAGTGTGTAATTCGTTCTATCCTGGAAGGAAATAATCCATAACCTTGGGTACTAGGAGCGGATTAAATTCCTTAAGAAAATATTGTGAATTTAGTGGGCTCAAATTAATTACTGTTTTGTTTATATTTACGTTTATACGCTAACTTTCTTTTCTCCAGAATTATAATTTACAAATATAGCAAGTAAGAAAATACCAACAGTTTGTTTGTGCATTTGTTTTGGCAAGGATGTTTCTTGTCCAAGTAATCCAGAAGACTCCGTCCATAGAAGTGACCGAAAGACTTTGATAATTAGTTCGAACAGTCCATACAATGATAATCCTAAGAATTCAACTTATATTTATTAATAGTGTAAAATGTTTCTTGCACTATCACTCTATCAGTATATTTTAATAGGTTATAACACATAATCTATCTTATTTTTCAAATTACTAATCCTATTTTATAGATACCTATAGTTTGTTACCTTCGAGATACCTTATAGTGTAATAAAAATTCTTTTAAACTATCAATATATGGAAGTCAAAATCCGTAATCCTAATACAACTATATATATGAGATGTGAGCAGGGGCGGATTTAGCATAGGAATGTCGGGTTCAACTGAACCCAGTATTTTCTTTAACGACCCGACCAGTCGTTTTCAGAATTAAAGCCCCATTCGGCGGCATAAGGTCTTGAGCAGCTTCGTATTATGTATTGTGACTTGCATGCGTGGTTGAGTTCAGTTACCGGATGATTCGGAGCCAAGTTGGTAGAAAGATTTCTAGTTTTGGAAGCTTAAGCGGTAAGAGTTGACTAAAATTTGACTTTTGTGTAAACGACTCCGGAATGAGGTACGGATAGTTCTGAAAGCTTTGTATGGTGATTGAGGACTTAGGCGTGCGTCCGGATTTGGTTTGGAGTTCCGTAGGGTAATTTGAAGTATTTCGACGAAAGTTGAAAAAGTTGAAGTTTTGGAAGGTTGAGAAGTTTGACCAAAAGTTGACTTTGGTGATATTGGGGTCGGGATGCGATTCCGAGGGTTGAAACAGCTTTGTTATGTCATCTGGAAATTGCCTACAAAATTTAACGTAATTCCGGTTGATTTGATAGGTTTCGGGGCGAGTTTTAGAAGTTGAAAGATTTGAAAGTTCATAAGTTCGATTCATGGTGCGATTCATTGTTTTGACGTTGTTTGATATGAGTTGAGGCCTCGAGCGGGTCCGTATTAAGTTATGGAACATATTGATATATTAGGACGAGGTCCCGAATGGCTAGGACGAGTTTTGGACGGGGTTCGGATCATTGGAGCATTGTTTGGAGCTATTGGAATTTTTGTAATTTGGTGTTTTCGCACCTGCGGTCCCTCACAAAGGCGTGAATTGGTCTCAGAAGCGAAATAGGTAGGTCTGGGCAGTTGCCGCAGGTGCAAAGATTATTTCGCACCTGTGTGATCGCAGAAGCAGACGAGCTATGTGTAGGAGCAAAGAGGAAGTGCAGAAGCGCACCTATGTTAGCGCAGAAATAGGGCTTTCTCCGCATGTGTGGTTAGCAGCCTCCAGTGATTGTTCCGCAGAAGCAGCTAATTATGTCGCAGGTGTGGTCATACCTAGGCAGAGAGTTTATATTCGAGGGCTTTGCCATTTTCTCCATATTTTGAGTTTTAGACCTCAGTTTTGGGAGATTTTTTTGTGGGCTTTTCAAGCCAATCATTGGGGTACGTGTTCTTCACCTAGAATTTATTATATTCCATGATTCTATCTTTAATTTCATTTTATAATTTATGTTTTGAGTTGTGGAAAAATGGGAATTTTGAAGAAAACTTTCAAAATGTAAAATAGTGATTTGAGGGATGAATTGGTATCGGAATTTGATAATTTTAGTATGGTTGAACTCGTATCGGAATGGGTGTTCGGGTTTATAAAATTTATCAGGTTCCAAGGTGCGGGCCCCAGGGTCGACTTTTGGGCTGGTGTTTAGTGTTTGATAAAGATTGAAATTTTATTATCTGAAATAGTTTCTTATGAGTTTTATTTATTCTTTAAAGTTATGGCTATATTTGAGCCGTTCGGAGGTTATTTCACCCGAGAAGTTCATTTTAGAGTAACAATATGTTTACTTTGTGGTAAGTATCTTACCTAACCTTGTGTGAGGGAACTACCCCTTAGGATTTGAGTCTTCTATGCTAATTGTATCATGTAAAGTCTGTGTATGCGAGATGATGAGTACGTACTTGGGCTTATTTGTGGAAAGTTGACCTTCTAGGGCTCTTAGGTTCTTATGTTCATTAGGTATGAAGTTGTTTTGTTATGTTAATTTCCCTATTTACTAGTTTCACCTCTATATGTTTTTAATTGAAATTAATTGCTTCATGTTCCCCCTCATTGCCTATTTGACTTTCATGTGCCTTAACTGAAGTTGTTGTCTCTTTAATTACCATGCTATCTTTTCCATTGCTTATCCTTAACTGAGTTGCTGTATTGTTTCCATAATTTTTTCAGACATAAAATAAATTAGTTATCCTTTATCATAGTTGCCTCATCCTTATTTGGAATTCATGGCTCATGTTGTCTCCCTTGTTGTCGAATTTTACTTTATGAAGTTACTATTACATATAACTTTTCCCTTGTTGAGCTACACTTATTGTGACTGGTATTATCTATTATATTTATTCTTTGTGAGTTCGTTTCTACCGTTTTTTGCGTTCTAAAGCTTTTGAGTTGATTTACTTTTCTTATTCTCGTGTATTGTTGTGGTTGTTGCTATGGTACTCAGTTTGTTGAGCCGTGGACTATGCGCGATTGTGGTATTTAGATTGTTTAGTGGAAATATTGTGGAATATGGGCACATGTTGTGAAGGCTATTCTAATGTATTGTTGTGTTGTTGGCACGCGATGTTGTTGGGATATTTTGTTCGGGTGTTAGCACGAGTTTTCTGTCGTGATATTGTTACTATTGATTGTGCACATGCGGCGTGACAAGGCGGGCTATATCTGTGTATTTGCGTATGTGGCAAGATAAGGTGGGAATATTATTATGCGCGTATGGCGAGACAAGGCGGGCATTTACTTTATTATTGCACACGTGGCGAGACAAGGTGGGATATATCGGGGATTCTTTGTGATAACTTGGGGCATTGTTGTTGTTGATATTTGTGTAGTGGCATACTTACCCTGTGCTTGTTATACCGTGTACATTTCGTGAAAATTGTCTCTTATGTGTCATTCATCGTTTCTATTCTTATTAGTTGGCCTGAACTATGATAGAACACTGGCACAACCATACTCGTAGTTATTCACCCCTAATAGTTTAAGAAGATGGATCCTGATGTTATTGATCATTTCTATACACCATTGTCTACTTGCCTTCTATGTATAAAATGGCTCTATTGGCATGTGAGTTGCCCGTGTGGTTATAAAATTGTAATGAGGGCACATGATGCCAAGTGTTTAAGGTTCAGGAATTGGGACCCGTGAATTGTGAATATTTTGAGGTTCGGTACCTCGTGGTAATTATTGGCTAAAACCTGGTGTGAAAGTAGTCGTTCTTGTTGAGTTGTTACTTGCCTTTCCTTTATCTGTGTTCATCAGATTTAAATGTATTCAGCTTGCTCCACTGTGTTATTACTTTTTTTTTTTTGTGTGTTCTGTTGCTAGCTGTTACTTCTATTTCCTACTGCAAGTACCGTATTCTTGTTGTCATTATGTATAGCTTTGTAGAGATATCGTACTCTATGCCTATACATTGTCCAGGTTATTCAGACTAGTAGGTGTCTTGACTTTCCCTCGTCTCTACCCTACTGAGGATAGTCTTGATACTTACTGGGTACCGCTGTGGTGTACCTGTACAATTTTTGTGCAGAACCAGGTATTTCGAAGTCAGTCGATCGTTAGCTAGCTATGAAGGCTTTTGTTGAGGAGACTCAAGGTAAACATGTTGCTGCGTTCGCAGGCTTCGGAGTCACCTTCTGATGTTGTTGTTATACTGTTTATTCTTATTTCGAAACAGTTGTATTTAGAGGTTCTAGCAAACTCTGTAGAGCTTATGACTTGTACTACCGGTTTTGGGATTGTAAGTCTTGTATAGAGATTTCCTAATTTGAATTGTCAATCTTTATTCATTTTGTTATTATTTTCAGTAATTGTTAGGCTTACCTAGTCCCTAAGATTAGGTGTCATCACGACCTCCTACGGAATGAGATTTGGCTCGTGACATTTTCGATCCGAAACATAAATTTATGTGTAAAAATTCACTAAAACTATAAAAACTAGTAGATATAAACTCATAACTTTTAAAATATAATGGGTTCAATGCTAAAAAAAATTGAAGATTGAATCCATAGAGATTTAAATCTTAGATCCGCCTCCGACTGTGAGCATCAGATATTGCTTGTAAAGCCGACTATGTATAAGAGAATTACTTGGGAGTAATGCAACTACTAGTTTAAATTTTAGCAACATTAAATCTAATCAATGTATTGTTGTGAGAACCTGGAAGATGCTCGATCTTAATCTTTTATATTAATTTGCATGAACTACTTTTCTCATTTTTCACTTGATTCTGATTTAGTTTGCACGTATTGCTCACATGTCCCTACAGCAACTAAAATGCATGGAGATTTCTATTAGCTAGGTAGTTTTACTTCCAGTTGACGTTGCAGTTTAATTTGTTTCCTGAAGATAACATAACAAGTTCAGAGTTTTGGTTTTTCCACTCTTATTAAGAATAAATAAATTGAGCTTTTGACTTTATGATACAGCGATTTCAAATCGAAGCAATGCCCATACATATCACTTCAAAAACAAATTGTGTGCCTGCTAGCTGTGTCTGATAGTGTACTGTACACTATAACTAGCTTAGTCATTCTGATGCTGGGAGATAGGGGAAGTTATTATTATATATTTACCATAGACTTTTGTGGCCCAGCCCTTTTCCGGATCCCACGCATAGCGGAAGCTTAGTGTACCAACGTGCCCTCTTTTAATTTCCCCATCTGAGCTCATTATCAAAAAGCAAATTGTGAATTGAAAAGTTTCAGTTACGATGAGGAAAAAAAGGTTCTGCATTTTTCTTTCTTTACAATGAAGAGGGGCCATAAAATTGATGATTCCATTCTGAGCAAAGAAATCTACAGAAACTTCTCGTTGACCCAAATTAGACGGTTTAGATTTATATCCATCATTTGTTTCGTAGCTACGCAAAGGTCACCAGTTGCCAATGTCAACGTCTATCGCGTTATAAATAAAGGAAGCCTTTTGGTTCTCTGCCTCATTATTTTCCAACAGATCGATAGATGGCGGCTGGTCTTGGGTTTCGACGCTATTTATTGTGCATCTTGTTTCTTCTTTCAATCACTATATTTTGTGTTTCAGCCCGTAACTCCATTTCTCTCTCAGGTATATACTATGAGTCCCTTCCTTTATTTATTTGGGGACTTTTATCTCTTGTCTTTTCATCGTTTGTCATGCACCTAGTGGAAGTAAGAGTTTTTTTTTTTTTTGTAGTAGTTATTTGTTTGGAATTTATTGGTCCTGCTCATGTGAATTCGTGCTGCGTAAACCTCTTTAAAGGGAAAAGCACTCTCTGCTAAGATTTTATTTATTTACAAAGTTTTAACTAAGGATGAGATAATCATATCTATTCTACAGCATTCCTTAGTGGCATGGAGGTAGGGAGTGAATGATAAACAGTTCTTTCTCAATAAAGAGCTTTTTGAACTCATATGCAAATACTTGACGCCTTCAACTTTTGAACCGGAAGTTAATCTGAAATAGACTAATGTGTTAAAAATTGTAGGTATTACATAAATGGTATTGACTAGCTAGTGACAAAAAAGGCTCCATGTCAGTCGGTCTTATGATTCCATTTACTTCCTCCATCCTAATTTATGTGATGGTATTTGATTAGGTCATAATTTAAGGAAGAAAGATTTTTGGAATTTATGATTTAAAAATAAGCCAAAAAGAAGTTTAGAGTTAAGTTACTTACTAATATAAAAATGTACTACTATTCTTCGTAGGACCTAAAAAAGGGCATTACATATTTTAGGAGGAGGGAGCAGTACATATATATGTACTTACTATCAATACTGTGACGAAAATTCCCATATAACACAGAAGTTACATTTCCAGTTACTAATTATTATACATTATACTGTGTTTTCTGGAAAGTGAAAATCTCTTTTCTTTTTTCCTTTTGCAGGGGACGAGATGAAAATGCTGCAAGTGAGCCCACAGGATTACGGTGAACCCTCCGCAAACAACAACCACTATCCTGGCAGGGGCAGGTTCGATGGTGGTGGCCGTGGCCGCGGTCGCGGCCGCAACAAGTGGCCATGACAATGTTGACTATATATCCTCATGAGCACACATTTTCCGTACGTTGCACAATAAAAATCTGCTACCTCGTATATTTTGTACTTACTATATATGAAGCCTCTGCCGTTCCTGCCATTCGTGTTATTTCATGTGACTCTTTACAGAAAATTCTTGTTCAGCAAGTGTTAGTGAGGCATTTAAGGTCTAGGACCAATGAATTGAAGTAGTTTCATTATATTGACAAGATCTTCCTATGATGTTGATACAGTTTCGTCTTTGTACACCCAGAATAAATGTGATTTATATATTATTAAGCTTATTAACTATGGAAACAAATTTTTCTGCAGATTATTATATATTCATTTCATTTGAAAAGATGCTCACCTTTTACATTCTAACATTCAGTAATTGAATGCATGAGTCATAAACTTGTTAGTGACTAAGTGTGAAGCTTGTAACAACGATTTGTCTACTAATACTTCCCCACCAAAAAGAAATCGTTGGCTGAGTAATATTTGATATAAATTGCCAAATTGGAGTTATCAGCCATGTATTATTTTGAATTAATTGAATTTAAAACAACAAAGTTTCTTCATAAAAGATGCACTATTAAAATGGTACTACTAAAAGATTGTACTTAAACAATTCTCCTTCCGTCCCAATTTATATGGCGGTATTTGAATTTCGAGAGTCAAACGAGTTTTTGTTTGACCTCAATCTTTTGATATGTTCTTTGAAAGTTTTGAATTGTAATTATTATGTATTATAGTACTTTTTACATAATTTTCATATATGTAAATTTTAGTTCCAAATTTTTTAAATATTCTATGATAGAATTTATGGTCAAAATTAACTCGTTTAAATCTCAAAATCCACAAATTGTCACATAAATTGGGATGGAAGGATTATGAAATATGAACTTTAGTCAACAGTTTTTGTTAATTTCAATAGCTTTTGTCATTCACAGTGTATATCATATTTCTTCATGTGGGGTAAAATTTCAAAAAATCTCAATAAAAACAAAAAAGGGACTCAATTAAATCAAGGTGTCAACTAGACCAGTCCGTTCCAGGAACAGGCCATAGTCGTAAAAATAGCATGGTATAGCCAGTTTTCGGATTGGTCATTCAAAAATAGCCAGCGTTTACGAAGTCAATGAAAAATAGCCACTATTTTCTGCAACAGAGACCGATCCAACATATTATACTGGAGTTCGGTGCACCTGTGTATGAACACCTGCATATTATGCTGGACCGGTATACTTTGCTGACTCCAGTATAATATACTGGAGACTGGAGCACCGGTGCTCCAAACTCCAGTATATTATACTGGACAATTATACTTGCTGGAACTCCAGTATATTATGCTGGAGTTCTAGTGTACTTATGCTGGAACNCATCACAAAATTTTTAACCACAAGGTTTTTCTTGTTACCAAATATTTCTTTTTACTTTATTTTAGGAGTAATATAATAAATATAAAATATAAAAATAATTGGCAATAACAAATATTAGTTGTTGCTATTACACAAAATTTTCTCAACAATTAGTAAATCACTTTTAGTTTTCCGCCAAAACAAACGCGCCAAAACAGATTTCCCTATTTTATTACTTTTCCCCAAATTTTTAGCGCTCAATTTTAGTTTCCACTGCATCTAGGNCAACCAGTTATAAATCTGGCTATTTTTGAATTTGTCGCTATATTTTTACCACGGTCCAGGAACCGGCCCACGCCCTTACTAATCCTAAAACTGTCAATAAGACGAGCAACAAAATGCATGAAGAACAGAAAAAGTTATTAGCTTGGCCTGGTGGTAAGTTTAATCATGCTCTTTGTATCATGTGCAAATATCACTTATCGTAATTAGTGGTGGAAAAATAGATTAAAAAATAATTATTTATCCATATTAAGATAAATTCAAAAATAGTCAGATTTACAAATGGTAACTGAAAAATAGCCACACTTTCAAAAGTAATCGAAATTTAGCTACTTTTCATGTAAAGATAAATCTGAGTGAAAGTATTGTTCGAAATTTGGAAAATATTCCAGCATAATATACTGCAGTTCGAAATTTTTACACATGAACTTCCGACATAATATGCTGGAGTTCCATCATAATATGCTGGAAGTTCATACACGTTGTCACTCCCCTTTTTCTCGCGAAATCGGGTTTCAACGTGTGACAACTCTTTTAAGAGAGGGTTTTAAAAGAGGGGGTCGTCACCTAACGAGTTAAGGTGCGTTAGGGCACCTATTTGTAGATAACTTTGTCTAACTAGTTTGTGTCACCAAAGATCGGGTAAGGGCTCGAAATTACCTCGAAGAGAAGGTGTTAGACATTCTTCGAGGTCCACAACTGTGAGTTTCGGCCGAACTCAATTATATGAATTAGTCTATGTGATCAAAGACAAGAAAATAAAGGGATTTGGAGAAGTTCATTATTAAACACAAATAATTGATTGAAAGGCAAGGTTTTGGGGGGGGNAAGGCATTTGAACTTTTATTTTAAGGTGATTCTAGACTTTAACTTAGGTTGTTAAAAAGGGAAAATACTAAGCGACATACAAAAGAGTTTAGGACTTTCACATATATACAAGTAAGGGCTCAAGTTAGCCTCCGCACACTACAAGGAAGTATAGAATTAGCAACAATTTTTTTGCAACAACAATAATATTGTTGCAAAATACAATAAATGACAACAACTTTATTTAGTTGTTGCTATATCATAGAATTTTTACCCACAAAAATTTTTTTGTTAGCAAAAGTTTTAATATCGTTGCCATATTTAACAAACAATATAATAAATTTTAAATATATATAAGTTAGCAACGACTTTTTAACAACAATAATATGGTTGTTGGCTAAGTTTAATAAATGGCAACANTGTCAAGAAATGGAAGGAAGTTCCTAATCTAGCAAAAGATAGAATTGTTGCTCATATGCTGGTAATTCACTTTGTTTCTTCTCGATCACTTGATAAATTCTAGAAAATTGGTCACTTTCTTGATCAGCTTATCAAATTCTTATTTATAAACTTACTTTTTTTAACATCTCATTTGATTAATTTAGCTTATGAAAAGCATACAACAAAGAACCAGCTTCTACTGAAGTAGATGGTTCAACTCCTACTTATATGTTGAGGTAGCTAAGATAATATATAATCAAATTCTAAATTCCAAATTACTTTTGAACTTGAATAATTCACCAGAACAATGATGTAAGTGTACAAATAAAGTATGTTTATAACTTATTAGTGGTAAGCCAATTTTAGGCATGCTAACCTGAAAGGTCCTCAACACATTGGCAGACAATGAAAGTTATATTCTAAGTAAGCTCACTTAAGTATTTTTGAGTGCAGGACACCTTTCTACTTCCAGACACACAACACAATCGAGATACTATCCTTCAAACAGCTAATAATTTATACCGATATCGTCGTAGTAGACTCCACGATCATTTCAAGAAATTTGCTTCGAATGAGGAAAGCTTGCAGAACATGCCGGCAGAAGTTAATGAAGCTGAATGGAATTTCTTAGTGGACTATTTCAGTTCTGATGCTTTTAAGGTAATTAGGAGTATATCAAAATTAAATGGACTATTAGTAGTAGTAAGCACACCATTCCTTAGTGGCTTAGTAGAGTTGTTCCCATTGTCATCTAATTTATCAACAGTTCCAGGTTGATTAGAAACACCTTCCACTGACTGAATATTTGTAGGCTTACATTCTTCGTTAACATCTGCTCCGGGTTGGTTAGAAATAACTTCCACTAACTCATTAGTTTTAGCTAAGCATTCTCTATTAGCATCAGTTCCAATTGAGAAAATTTCATCTTCCACCAAATGCTGTTGAATCTCTTTTTTTTGTGTCCTTTTCTTGCTAATGATTCTCTGGATAGCAGTTCTCTCCCTTATATCCCTCCGTTTTTTCTTAATCCTTTTTCTTTTTCCTGTCAACTCTCTCTTGAACAAAAGGGTCATTTTGTTTAGGAGATTCCTTATTCTTATTCAGATATGGATGTGGTTACACTGTTTTGCTTGCTAGACTCAACTTGATCAGATATGGATGTGGTTGTGATTGTTTTGCTCTCATCATCTTTTTGTGAATTTGTAGTTGAACTTTATAATATTACTTAGTTTCTTCTTATACTTTCTTACTTAAATTAAAATATATTCATGCAGCAAATGAGTGCATGAAATAAAACTAATAAGGGAAAACAAGAAATGAATCATATTTGTGGCAGAAAGTCCTTTTAAGCAGTATCTTATGATGTGGTAAGATGTCTTTATTTTGAGCAATTTTGATCATTTTTCTGTAATAACATAATTTAATTTGTTTTATTAGAGAGATTCAAGCACTGGCAAAGAGCCAAATCTTCAAAAACTTTGGAAAATGACTCACATGAAGTCAGGACATTGGGTTAATGATGCCTCTGCTGAATTTAATATATATATGAAACTCTTATCTTTATCCTAGAATATGTGCCGATTGAAATAAATATCGCAAGTTTAAGCTCGTATAATTGTTTGTAGGATAAGCTAACAGAAATTGTGGCCGAACAAACTCAAGAAGTGGAAGAGGATACTGATGTGGACCCAATTATTAATGCTGCTTTTGTGAAACTTGTTGGAGAAAAGTCAGGATATTGCCGCGGTCAAGGATCGGGAGTCATGCCAGCTAGTAGGAGATCTATGCATGTAACTCAAGAGCAACTGCAAGCACAACAGAAAGAGGTGGAAGAAGAACGTCATAAACGAGAGAATGTAGAGTGTAAACTAATAGAAGTGGAAAATCAACTTGCGGAGGAGCGGAAAAAACGAGAAATCATGGAAGCTCGTCTAGTGGGTGATCAAAAAATATTAAAACAGGGCATGATGGCACTAGTATCCCATATACAAAGTTCCGAGGTATTTAATTTGTTTAAGGCGTTAAAGTTTCAATTACTTGCTTTTGATCCTAAAAATAATTTTATTAAACTGCTTAAGAATAAAAGAGGAACCAAGTAGCAGTTGAATTCAATAGCTATGGCAGGGCTTTGCTATTCTAAATGTCTACTGATGCTTGTTGGTAAGATGGTACACAGATACAATGAATGTAGGAAAGAGACATTTTACCCATAGCTTTTTTAAATGATTGAGAAACTATCTTAGCTTATCAGTATACGAAGCAAATTGCTGGTGATTTACTTTAGCTCTGTAGCTAAATATCAGCTATAGTATGTGAACTTTCACAAACTTCAGACTTACTTTAAATACTATGATAAAAATATTTCTAAGTCCAACACATGATGTTCTGTTTTATATCCTATGGTAATAGCTTCGAAGAATGGACGTTCTCATACACTAATCTGTTTGTCATTTCTACATGAGATATTAGATATTCAAGGTATAAAATGCTTTATGTATATGTTGTCTGTTTATTTGGATCTATAGAAACTATATTTTGTATTCTACTGAAAGGAAACGTGTTCTAATATTTTTGATGTTATAAATTTGCATCTTCGAAGTTTTATCATATTTAAGTTTAGTTGTACAATGTTTAACAAACTGGACTTCCTACTACAATTTTTGACATGATTGCTAATTTAAATGATTCAGATGAGACAAGTCCTACAAGTCTTATGGATGATAGCATGGTAAGTAAACTTATTCTAGTTCTTGTGAAAGGAAGTTTCTTGGTTGTATATGCAAATGAATCTATTTGAATAAATCAATCTTTGTTCTAAATTTTTTTCAGACTATAGTATTGTATCTTTGGGAGTATTTAGCATGTTCTGATGCAATTTTATTTTGGGGAGTATTTTAATCAAGCTTACACTGCTTACATGCCTATTTTTCTTAAGTTGTTGCAGTTATTTCTCATTAAAATATATTATTGATTTTTCTTAAGTATTTGGTTTCAAGAAGACTTTTGGTCTGAATACCTATGGGAGGATGACTTGAAATATACAAAAGTTGTTTGTGAACAGGATTATATAACTTCCTGCCTAGCTGTGGAAAATGAAAAAAAGGAAAAAAGATAACCATACCAAATACCAAATAGTTTGAAATAAGCATTAAATCAAGAGTGCTTTCAGTCATGATGCACTTTACCTATGCACATAATCCAGATTGTAGGTGATTGTTTCTTTCTCTTGGTCGTGCATTATTAATCTAATATTCCCAACCATGTTTCTGAGAGTGCTTTTTTAAGTTAATGTTGTGTTTCCACTAAGCTCTTTTCAGGTTGATGGTTCCTGTTATGGAGTCATTTTGGTCATCTTAGTATCTTGATATTTTTTGTGTTGCTTTTACATGGCTTCCCGGTGTTGTCTCTTCTTGTCTTTTTTTTCATTGATGTGGTACTTATGTTGTACTGAGCCGAGAGTCTATTGGAAACAACCTCTTTATTTTCACAAGATAGGGGTAAGATCTGCGTAAATTGGGATTATACTGGGTATATTGTTATTGTTGTTGTAAGTTATTGCAGTAAAATAAGCTTCCACTATTTCGTTTTGCACGTTTGTACTTTATAGCTTCTTTTTATCAAAATCTAATTATATATTTTTTTTTAGGATGAGTAGCATTCCTGACATCTGGTTCATGTAGTGCACAAGCTGGTGGAAGAAGATTTATTTTTTGGGTTAATATTAGAATAGAACTTAAGGACCTTGAATATATGATACTTTTGTTTGTTTTGTAAGTAAAGATATACTTTTTAGGATTATTTAGCTTTTGAAAGTTAGTATATCCACTGCATCAATTTTATGTATAGACGCTTTATTTATAAATATATATATATATATAAATTAAACTACAATTTATTATCTCTATATGTATTTGTGAAAATTTAAAGAATATATGAATTATGTATTTAGTAACACCACATAAATTGTTGTCAAAGTAGTACTAGAGAATATGTTGAAAAAAAAAGTAATTATTACCACAATAATAGTTGTTGCTAAAAGTCTTGATAACAGATTATTAACTTTACCGCCAATTTCTTTAGCAACAACGGATATTGTTGGCAAAAAACTAATTTTGTCGCAACAATAATTTTTGTTGGTACATGTCTTTATAATCCACGACTTCATTGACCTTTTACTAACAACAAATAATTTATGACAACGATATATATTGTTGCGCTAAGTTACCTTTTGGCAACAATATTTTCTGTTGTTGCATATACTTTTCCCATCGGTGTTTACTGCAACGGAGTGCAACGACTTCTTTGTCGTTGCCAAAGATATTTTTTGCAACAACATTGAATATATGGCAACAAAATTTGTTGTTGCGATATGCCTTCTTTCTTGTAGTGGCATTTAGACAACAAATACACGCAAGTCAGATTAAAAAAAGACAATTGATGATTTTAATAAATGGAGGTTGCAGAAACCTATAGGCATGATCTCTATATGAATCTGGATTTAATGAGCGGGCATTTTACAATCTCTGAAACCTACATAGTTGCCTGCCGTATAAGCGATTAAAATTATAGGCATGATATTTAGGCATTTTTTCAGTAACCGATAATGGTGATCATTGGATTATGTTCAAAATTGGTTAATCGGGTCCTATAGGCATGGTTTCTAGTGATAATATTTAACACCGCGTTGGGGATTATTAAAGAAATGAGTATGACAATTAATTAACTGACTCAGATCTTATAGGCATGATATCTACCCAACTTGTTGCAAGTATAAGATAAAAATCCCTTTCCCAATTTCACTAATACCCCAAAATATTATTACAATAATTATTATAGACCCAGAATGAATGTTATAAATTACATAGTAGATATAGCTATAAGGAGCCTACAATATGCCCAAATACACATGGACAAGCCATGCCTTCATTCTCACAATTTACAACAGATCCAAAATTACATATTCATAGATACATAAACAACTGATAGTTGAGTGATTCACTCAGTGGTCTTAAAACAGAATTGAGCATATAGAACCAAGACCCCAGTGTGTCAGAGTTTCTAAGGGCTTCATGAACCCAAGACAGTGCTCACACTAGGGAAGTTAATAAAGATCATTCAGAGGAGGAACTAGAGACCAAATCCTAGTGTGTCAGAGTTCACAAGGGCCTTAATTGGACCCCGAGCAATGCTCACACTAGGGCAATCAAAAAGATAGAACCTAAGTAGCCTTGGCTTTCAACCGGCTAAGAATGGGATTCAAAGAACTCAAGCAACAAGTGAAAGAGAAAGGACTAAGGTTGAGGGACAGGAATTAAGGGATTTAAAGAGACACAACCAAATTGAACTAACCAGGCAGGCAGTTGATTAAATCACAGAACTAAAGAACAACCTTAATGCAAACTGGAAAAAAACAGGTTCAACACTTAGCATAGGAACAATCACATGCTGAAAGAGTTAAGAAAAGAACATGTTTGCAGGATTGACAATGATTATTATACACAGATGCCCATTGCTAAACAGGTTGAAACATGGTTGGAAACTATGCTAAGTATATAAGAAACAAGGCAACATTGTGCTAAACCGCATAATCACAAAAAGAAGAGGGCATCATGTTAGCAATGGGGCATGATCACAGACACATAACATATGCTAGGGCATTTTTACAGAGAGTCTGGACAGCATGAAAGATAAACAAATAGCAGATAAGCATTCAAGCATTGTTATAGAGGTCTAATTAACAGAATATGATTCAGTTTGTGCCAAAGGTTTAGCCTAACACCTCAAAGTAACAATTCAAAACATGCTGAGATAACTGTTCTAAATCACAAGCAAATACTAACGGGGTATGGGATCAAGTGAGCATGCTGAGTGATACAATGACTAACACTGAAAGTCTCAACACAGATTACTGTAGGGATTCAAGGGGTAAGTGAATAAACATGTTCATAGGCATTCAAGAGTCAATACACTAACTGAATAAGCCCTAAGAAGTTCAGATTACTCAATTAGGTGTAGATAGTCTCAGAACTAGTAGCATTAAGAGTGAGTAAATGCAAAAGTTAGCAGAGTGATGCTTAAAAGTAAACCAGAAACATGTTAAGCTAAAGATTCAAAGATAAGAACACATAAGGATGAAATTGCGAAAGTCAAGTAACTCACCAGTTAAACGAGAAATGCAAGAAAAGAACAAAACCCATAGTGTTCTGAATCGTCAATGAGTAGCAACAACCCAGAACTTAATGGCATTGGCTTTCAGCTGGCCAAGACCAAAGTATAGAACGAAATAACAGAGTAAAGTTTTAGATCTAGTGAGATTGTAATGATTCCCGAGTTTGTTTAAAGGGAATGGGGGAAGGGGTTTATATAGGGGTAGATATTAACACATAAACATGGAAAATCATCAGTCAAACACTAGAAAGGAAAGCAATTGAAATCAGTAAGAAAAAGAGGAAATTCCAGAACCCTAATTTTAGGCATAGTGCACAAATTAACGGAAATAAAAAGTAAAAATCACATGCTGCATAGAATAAGATGAACATAGATAGAAATCTATTCAAAATCAAAGAATTGAGTCAGGTTTGGATTGATTTAAAAAGTATCTGAAACCCTAAATTAGGGTAAGTAAAAATCGGCAAAAATAAACAAATCTACACATAATAGGGCAAATATAGCAAGATAATACTTAAAATAAAAGGCTTAAACCAACTTTGGTTCGAATAAAAAAAAAATCTGAAAACCCTAGTTTTAGGGTAAGTAAAAATCTCAAAGATACATAGAGATTCATAGAGATTCATACCATAAAAGAACAAGAACGATCACAGATAGAAAGGGTCAAAGAACTGAAGCAGATTTGGTTCGATTTCTAAGAGATTTGCTTGTCATGTTTAGGCAAGCAAATTAGGTAACACCATAGACGAACCAGTACGGGGGGGG